TACGAACTCCAAAACCACAAGCCACTTATATTATATACCCGACGTGGTAAAAACAGATTAAAGTTTAAAAAAAGAAAAAACGAGAAAAAAAAAACGAATTAAGATTCCCGTTTTAGTTTTATTTAATTTATTTTAAATTTTATTCTTCGTGTTTTTCTTCATTAGAAATTGCCTACCTCTAATATATTGATTTTTAAATATTTTCGTTCATTTATTTTTTTTTTTTTTACCTTCCTCTTTGCTGATTTGCGTCTTTCTTCTTTGGCATATTCTGAACAGTTTATTTTGATTTGAGCAGCCATCTTTCTTTTTCAGGGGAACGTTCTTCTCGATTTCACAATTTATCTCTTCTTATTCTCTGTGTGTGCGTATGTTTTTTATTTATTTATCAATATTTTCTCTACGTAGATCTGTGTACATCTTCCAGTACGTCATTTCTTGAATTATTTTATCTTTTTTTCTCTTTCTACCACTCTTCTACGCTTCATGCTTTTTTTTCCCTCTTTTGGGTATTTTGTTTATTTTCACAAGGTTCGCCTTTATTCCTCCCTTCGTGTTCTTATTCTTAATTTTAGTCATCGTTGTTGTCTATGAATGGAGACACAGATAATTTCTTTTCCAGCTCTTTTCCCCTCCTTAACATCATTATCAAAGGTGTTTTATTATCATTTGACTTTGGTTTCTTTATGTTTTCCTAATTTTGTCAGTTTCATATTCTAAAGAATATCTACTTTTTTTAGCAACATTTCTATTCTATGAAGACACAGGTCTCTGTACTTACACACACACACACTCACACACACATATATATATATATATATATATATATATATATATATATATATATATAGATAGATAGATAGATAGATACACAAGTAGAGGATTGGTGCATACTGAATAAATTACAATAACCAACAAATACTATTCTTAAAACTTAAAAGAGTGCTCAATACAGAGTAGAGCAAATATAACTATTTATTCGAAAATTATAGCATAAACATGTTATACAATCATTTGATAAGACACCAGAAGTGTTGAAACAAAATGACTATTTTTGTAATGATTTAATAACTTGTTTATGTTATAATTTTCTAATAAATAAATAATAATAAAAATATATATATATATATATATATATATATATATATATATATATATATATATATATATATATATATAGTGTAACCCGGATATAAGAGAGTTGTCAGGACCGGAGAAGAAGTCTCTTATATCCGGGTTTCTTATATCCGGGTTTGGTCTATTTTGTTTAGGTAAGTATGGGAACACTTTGAGACCAGAGAAAATCTCTCTTATATCCAGGTTTCTCTTATATCCGGGTTACACTGTATATATATATATGCCATATTTATGGGTTAATGAGCTCAATATCAGGGATAATTCATATGTTAGTATAAAGCTGGACATTTAAGTCAATACAGCTTGAAGTCTGTTTCATGCTTAAACACAATCGTCAGGCTTTACAGGCTAGCGTCAGATTTAGTAACAAAGAACAATATACAATAGCTACAAAAGTGCACACGGATTTTTCTCAATATTATCTAAAATAATACAAAACATAACCGTTACCTATTACCTAAATACCCATTAGAATAATAGAATAGACCTACCCATACTGCAACACCGACCAGTCGACCACAAGCACAACACATATGGCCTACAGATGGCATTTAAGCACGAAACACACTGTCGCCGGAAAATGAGAAAATGATTTTTTTAACTCGATTCTTTCCACAGACATTAATTATAATTTTATTTTCGTTATTAATTTTTTTTTTCATTTGTTTATGGTTCATTTATCTCAATTTACTTTCGCTTAGAAAAAATATATATAATTCCAAACAATGCAAGTTTTCTGAAATGTCACAGACGAATATTTTTTTTTTTTAGGCTTATCAACGCTTATTTGTGTTACTTAACGTTGAAATATATTTTGGAATATAAGAATAATTCTTTTTGTGAATAAATGTTGCATTAACAATTTTGTTTAGAATAAAAATGATTTTCTTTTTACTAGTCGGAATATTTGACCCATAGTTATTTGGAGGTGATGGATTCATGCTTTCTCAATGGTATTTCTGCCTGTCTGAATACAATGAAGCCGAGTGGAATTCGAAATCGGATCTCAGATTTCGAATTTCGAACTACTATCGATTAAACCACCTGCACTTACAGCCACACACTAGGTATCATTTAACATGTTTTCACATACTCTGTAATGTTTAGGCATAGGACAACTTCTTATGTAAAAACTGTAAAAAAAAAAGTTTCAATATATCAACTTTAACACGGTCGTAACGTGCTGACGTATTTGAAAAAAGAACATTCCCACTGTTAATAGAATAGCCAAAAGTACTCGGTTCTATAGAAAATCTGAAAAGATTTTACACACTTTATGTTCATAAATGATAACACTTTTAAGAGTGCAAGAAAAATGTAATTAAAGCTCTTAATCACAGTACTGTGTCAGTCGCTGTAATGAAACATTTATAAAAGATGGGTTGGATCATATATATATATATATATATATATATATATATATATATATATATATATATCACAGCTCATCAGTGTGTCTAGACATCCGATAGTTTCAAGCTGAGATCGAAACTCGACCAATGTGGGATCAGTCAGTCTCCCTATGCTATCGGCGCACGGCAGAGAAAGGGAAGCTTTTAATGTATTATATACGTGAAGTATATAAACGCCAAATGTATGTGTGTAAGAAAGAAAGAAAGAAAGAAAGATGTCTACTCAGGCTCTGTTTTGTTCATTCATATTTGTGTATTCTTGCTTTTATTCTATTTTTATTTTGTTGGTGTTTTTTCATTTTGTTCTGTATATATTAATAGTTCTCTCTACTCTTTCTGAAAGTTTCTGTTTGTGTGTGTGTGTGTGTGTATATATATATATATATATATATATATATATATATATATATATATATATATATATTTTTTTTTGTGTGCGTGGATTTTCTTTTTTTTTTCCCCTGTGAACGATATTATTTTCACGTATTTTTTTTCTTTTCTGTTTCCACCAGCCATTTTTATTCATTCTTTCTTTGGGATTTTTTTCTCTCCATTTCTTTTATTTTCTACGCTTTTATCATTACCGATTCTTTCCCCGTTTAGTTTCATCAATTTATTATTTCGTGCATGGGTCTTTAGAGATATTTACCAATCTTAGGTTACAAGACTGCGACTGTGAAGCAACTATTAAGAAAAGAAATCATTAGAATATTAAGGCTCTGCGAAACTTCAATGAGCGATGTGCCTACAGGAGGAGGACAATCATGTCTCTCCCCAACGAGTTTGTGCCCCCCCCACGTACTTTGTCAACACTACCGCATCCCGTACTGCAACCCATTCACACAAACTAGTCAGGCACGTAGCTCACTGCCTTCCCCTATCTCTCTTGAAACCATATGATCTGTGGGGTTAAAGTTTACAAGTCCTCTTTCCTCACGTATTTCAGCTGGCTGGTTCTGATTCCGAGTATATGCATTGTTTTGGTTACTGTTTTCTTTACGACTTCCTCGTTGATTGATCCATCGATGGTCGTCCTGCGTATGACGATAAACTACATCCGCGTCCTGGGTAAGACGATAAACTACGTCCAGCAGCAAAGCCTCTGATCAGCAGGTTTTGAGAAGTGTGGAACCACCTCTTAATTGCTGATGTTCCCAGGTCAACCTTGATCCGGGGAGCCCCAGCTATGGACAAATAGTTAACCCCCAAACTGGGGTAAAAACGCAATGAATGTGTAAAAATAGGTTTTAATACCAGAACTTATTACCAGCAATAAATTTTTGAAGAAAAAGAAATATTACCAGAAATACATTTTTGAAAAAATATTACCAAAAATGTTTTTAAAAAATAAATATTACTAAGAATAGATTTTTGAATGAAAATATTACCAGCAATACATTTTTGAAGGAAAATTTTACCAGAAATAGATTTTTGACAAAACAAAATATTACCAGCAATAAAAATGTTGTCGGCATTAAATAGCCCTTTGATGTTGATATGCCGTAAAACAAACCAAACCGAATGATCCATCTATGGAATTCTCAGTATCATTTTGTAGAACCTCATTACTGTTGATTTCCCTAGTCTCTTCATCTGTGGGGAGATTTTTCAGCATTCAGATTCGTACAAGAGCATTGATATCACAGAGGAATTCACCAGTCCTTTCTTTGTTTCTGACGATTTGCTGTTTCTTTGTATTTTGTTTATAATTTGGAATGCATCTTTTGCTAACCCAATATGTTTCGATGTCGCATATTCTATCCTCTGTGAAACTAGATTATTTTACTCTGGTTTATTTGTATTTATTTAACTGAGTTGGAACCAGGAGAAAAAAAAAATCAAATGGAAACAACCAATAACCGACTAATCGATTTTTCTTGAATGTATGGTTTATTGATTTTTATTAACTATCAAACCATATTGAAACATTAGATATCAAATTTTACATGAAGCACATTCTGTGTAACGAACTCACTATACAGGATTAATAGGTAACCACACTAAGTTCCTTGATCGTTACCAAAAATCGAGGTATCATTTGCTTAAATGAAAGGCACGACAATGACAAAATTAACTTGGGAAAAAGCTATTTAGAGCAAAAAACGAATGGGAAATCTGAAAGACTCATGATCGACTATTTCTTGAAAAGACTTGGTCGATAAAAGAAGAAAACATTCGTGACATGCAGTTTGGTTTGTTGGTCGATTCATTCTCTACGGCTTATCAACACTTTGCAGGTTATTTAAAGCCAGTGACTATTTTTAGATTGGAAGAATTTGGGTGGAGGAAATAATGATTTAGTGATACAAGTATTGCTAATTAACATAGCTGTGTGGGAGAAGATGTGGATTCATATCTTTCCCAAAATTAATTGCGTGTGAGTGAATATAAAATGCCAGACTAAATTAATTATTCAGACATTATTAATTACACTACGCGCATATCCAAGTTTACCACACCTAGTATTCACCTGCAGTCACCTATCTAGTTACTTACCTGGTTTGACGTTGCTTAACTTCGGTGTTCGTAAGAGAACCGTTGTTTCAATGCTATATGGCCGTAA